CCCCCCCCCCTAACAATGCAGCACTGTGAGTGCAGAAAACACTTCCCTGATTGCAATTGCCCACCTTTTCTTTAACAAAGTAAAAGAGAATTCAACTATGGATTTAGTTTTAGTTTTCAATCCAGGAAAAATGCATTACAATGGACATCTGTCGCCCTCTACAGGCCAAAATGGAAAATGACACCTAATTGCCAACTTGATAAGAGACAAGGGGTGCATCTACAATACAGATTTAATGCAGTTTGGCACCACTTTAACTGCCTTGAAACAATGCTATGGAACCTTGGGAGCTGTAGTTTGCACTCTTGGGCAGGGAAGGCCTTGTGAAACTACAATTCCCAGTATTCTGGCCTAGTTTCCACCCATCTCTCCATTATTGGAAATTATTATTATATTTTGGACTACAATTCCCAAAATCCTGGTGAGCCGAACCCAGCTGGAAAAGGTAACTTCCCCAGCTCTTTTTCTCCCACTCCCAACCAAAATGCAAAAATAAATACAAAGAAATCCATTTTATTACATTCAGTCTTAAACAAACCCAGATTGTTGCATACTAATCTTTATCCAGTTACCTTGGATACAAAGGTTGATGTTTAATATCAGATTTTATTTACTCCAATTGTCTGACCTGTTGATTGCAATAAATTTCATTCACTTCAAAGTTTACAAAATATCTCTTTTTATAATGCATACAACAAAATGCCCCCAAAATAAAAATAAACCCAATTTATTGTGTGTAAATAAATATTCATTCACAGATATGAAAGAGAGCTGCTCAATACCAAATATAGTTTACTCCAAAGTTTACAAAATATCCCTTTAAAAAGAAAACACCCACTAGTATTGGGCAAACTTTGGCCCTCTGGGTGTTTTGGACTACAACTCCCACAATTCCAAACGGCCGATAGGCCGTTTGGAATTGTGGGAGTTGTAGTCCAAAACACCCAGAGGGCTGAAGTTTGCTCATACCTGAGCTACAGTATATGTTGGGGATCTTGGATTGATAGTTCAGCTTCTTCTTATCTCCAAATGTGATTACAACTCTCTTGGTTGGATTACAACTCCCAGCTTTGAAGTTGGGTAAGAAAAGTGTCGTCAGCTGCTGATGGGGTGTGATGTGAGCTGTAGTCCAACCAAACCTGGAAAGTATTGTAATCTGACCCTTGCGTTAGAGTTACTTCCACTTCTGAGAAACTGGTCAATCTCCTAATCCACCATCATAGGCCTCCTATATCTGCCATTGTAGACCTCCAACTCCACCATCTTAATTCTCCGATATCTTAGATGTCCATGATAGGCTTCCATCTCCACCATTAGATCTCCCATTCCCCCTATCACAGGTTTCCCAGGTCCATCATCTGAGTCTCTCATTCCCTTGTTAGGCCTCCCATCTCCTCCATGATAGATCTCCCATCTCTGTTGTCTTAGATTTCCTATCTCTTCTCATTCCTGCCATCTAAGGTTTCCCATGTCCACCATTTTAGGTCTCCTCTATCAGCCATCTTAGATGTTTACCATAACTGCCCACCGTCTCAGGTCCCCAATCTTCATCTTAGGCTTCTCATCTCCATCAGGAAAGGAGATTCCATCTGAACATGAGGAAGAACTTCCTGACTGTGAGAGCCGTTCAGCAGTGGAACTCTCTGCCCCGGAGTGTGGTGGAGGCTCCTTCTTTGGAAGCTTTTAAACAGAGGCTGGATGGCCATCTGTCAGGGGTGATTTGAATGCAATATTCCTACTTCTTGGCAGGGGGTTGGACTGGATGGCCCATGAGGTCTCTTCCAACTCTTTGATTCTATGATTCTATGATCCCTGTGTCCATCATCATAGGTCTCTCATTCCCATGTTAGACCTCCCATCTCCTCCATCTTAGGCCTCCCATTCTTCACATCTGAAGTTTTCCATGTCTACCATCTTTGGCCTCTCATTCCCATGTTAGATTTCTCATCTCTTTCATCTTAGGTCTCCCATTTCCTCCATCTTAGGTCTCCAGTCCTTTCTGTCTTAGGCCTCCCATCTCCGCCATCTTAGGTTCCCATCTTCTCCATCTTGAATATCCCATCTCTACCATTTCAGACTGCCTTCTGATGTCTTCCTGATGTCTCAGCTCTCCCATCTCTCCCATCTTAGGTTTCACAGCTCCGTCATCTTAGCTCTCCACCACTGTTGGCCTCTCATCTCCTCCATCTTGGATTTCCCATCTCTGCCATCTTAGCTCCCAACCACCCTGGGCCTCCCATCTCCTCCATCTTAGGTCTCCAATCCTCTCCATCTCAGGCCCCTCTTTCCTCCATCTTAGATCTTCTGTCTCCGTTATCTGAGATTGTCCTCTACATGCCGTCGAGCTCTCGCATCTCTGACCTTCCATCTGCCATCTTAGTTCTCTGCCACCTTTGGCCTCTCATCTCTTCCATCTTAGTGTTATTGAGCCACAGTAAACCCTCCCCCTCCAAGATTTATAGTTCACCAAGAGCTCAAAAATAAACATGATTTTTCCAGAACCTTTCCAGACTTGTGCAGCCTCAAGGCATCAAAAGATCAAGACCAAACCAGCAACAGTTATCATGTCTAATTCTTTAATACATTGCATCTATTCTTCACAACTTTCTATATAACTTCTATCTTTTGGTATACTGCATCTATTCCATATATAAAATATATATTTAAACTTCTTTACCAAAATGTAACCAGATAAGCCCAGAGATAACCCCTCTATTCCACCTTGGTTAGAGCACACCTGGAATATTGTGTCCAAATCTGGGCACCACAATTCAAGAGAGATATTGACAAGCTGGAATGTGTCCAGAGGAGGGCGACTAAAATGATCAAGGGGCTGGAGAACAAGCCCGTATGAGGAGCGGCTTAAGGAGCTGGGCATGTTTAGCCTGAAGAAGAGAAGGCTGAGAGGAGATATGATAGCCATGTATAAATATGTGAGAGGAAGCCACAGGGAGGAGGGAGCAAGCTTGTTTTCTGCTTCCCTGGAGACTAGGACAAGCAATGGCTTCAAACTACAAGAGAGGAGATTCCATCTGAACATGAGAAAGAACTTCCTGACTATGAGAGCCGTTCAGCAGTGGAACTCTCTGCCCCGGAGTGTGGTGGAGGCTCCTTCTTTGGAAGCTTTTAAACAGAGGCTGGATGGCCATCTGTCAGGGGTGATTTGAATGCAATATTCCTGCTTCTTGGCAGAATGGGGTTGGACTGGATGGCCCACGAGGTCTCTTCCAACTCTTTGATTCTATGATTCTACATCCCCCTCCCTGCTGAGAGATTTCCTGGACAGAAAGGGTGGGCAAAACCCTGGGGCCTTCTTCCAAGCCAAGGCAAGTGGTTCCTGTGTATGTCTATAGAGATAGGTGATTTCCTGCCAGCTCAGATAAACCCAAACCTGTTTGTCTAGCTATATGGTTCATGAAGAGTCAAAAGCAACTGAACAAATAAACAACAACATGGTTCACTTGAAACTGAGAGATTGCTGCTTGCAAAGCCAAAGGCTCTGAGTATTTACATTCCTGTTGTTGTTCATTCATTCAGTCGTTTCCGACTCTTCATGACTTTATGGACCAGCCCACACCAGAGCTCCCTGTAGGCCGTCACCACCCCCAGCTCCTTCAAGGTCAATCCAGTCCCTTCCAGGATGCCATCCATCCATCTTGCCCTTGGTTGGCCCCTCTTCCCCTTTCCTTCCATTTTCCCCAGCATTATTGTCTTCTCTAAGCTTTCCTTTCTTCTCATGATGTGGCCAAAGAACTTCATCTTGACCTCTAGTCTCCTTCCCTCCAGTGAGCAGTCGGGCTTCCTTTCCTGGAGGATGGACTGGTTGGATCTTCTCGCAGTCCAAGGCTCTCTCAGAACATTCCTCCAACACCACAGCTCAAAAGCATCTCTCTTTCTTCACTCAGCCTTCCCTATGGTCCAGCTCTCACATCCATAGGTGACTACATTGTTGCTGTTGCTATTATTATTATTATTATTATTATTATTTTTATTATTATTATTATTATTAGCCGTATTGAAATAAAGCTCTGTGGCATGTCTTTAACTTGGTGGATTGGTTTTTCTGTCGTAGTCATAGAATCATAGAATCAAAGAGTTGGAAGAGACCTCCTGGGCCATCCAGTCCAACCCCCTGCCAAGAAGTAGGAATATTGCATTCAAATCACCCCTGACAGATGGCCATCCAGCCTCTGTTTAAAAGCTTCCAAAGAAGGAGCCACCATTACACTCCGGGGCAAAGAGTTCCACTGCTGAACAGCTCTCACAGTCAGGAAGTTCTTCCTCATGTTCAGATGGAATCTCCTTGCGTTGATCTGACCCTTGCGTTAGAGTTACTTCCACTTCTGAGAAACTGGTCCATCTCCTGTTCCACCATCATAGGCCTCCCATATCTGCCATTGTAGACCTCCAACTCCACCATCTTAATTCTCCAACATCTTAGATGTCCATGATAGGCTTCCATCTCCACCATTAGATCTCCCATTCCCCCTATCACAGGTTTCCCAGGTCCATCATCTGGGTATCTCATTCCCTTGTTAGGCCTCCCATCTCCTCCATGATAGATCTCCCATCTCTGTTGTCTTAGCTTTCCTATCTCCTCTCATTCCTGCCATCTAAGGCTTCCCATGTCCACCATTTTAGGTCTCCTCTACCAGCCATCATAGGTGTTTACCATAACTGGCCTCCATCTCAGGTCCCCAATCTTCATCTTAGGCTTCTCATCTCTATCAGGAAAGGAGATTCCATCTGAACATGAGGAAGAACTTCCTGACTGTCAGAGCCGTTCAGCAGCGGAACTCTCTGCCCCAGAGTGTAGTGGAGGCTCCTTCTTTGGAAGTCTGGTTTTTAGCATACGGCTCACCAGGCACAGATCAACTTTAACTGTGGTCCTAATAAACTATAACATTCGGTGTCTTAGCTTCAGCATCTCCAACCAAAGATGTCTGAAAGGTTCAGGTAACTCAATCATGAGTCCAAACTCTATCATGAGTTCAGGTAACTCAATCATGAGTCCAAATCCCCTTCTTTTCGGCCTGAAAAATGTGGACCAGTTTGGTCTGGGAGCCATGGTCCTTTGGCACATCTCTCAGTCAGTCTTGGGGTCTGCTTTGTGCTCCCGGAGGGCCTTGGCCACCCGCTTGGCCTCCTTGGCCCTCTCCAAAGCTTGGCGCAGATACTCAGCGGGCTTGGCTCGGACCCGTGCCACCTCGTGAGCCAGCCTCTCCAGGGCCATCCAGGAAAGGCCTTCCAGAAGGTTCCACTTGGGGAGGAAGTAGCTGGCCAGCTGCCGGTCCACCAGGCTGGCCAAGAGGTCATCCAGGAGGCCCAGCATGGCATGGGCGGCATTCTCTTCCCGGCCAAGGAAGCTGTTTGGAAGTCGCTCGCAGGACCACAGGGCCAAGGTGAAGAGGTGGTAGGGCCCCACGCCACTCCTGAGACAGCCACTGTTTGAGATGGCCGCAGCGGCAGCCCGGAATGCCCAAGCCAAGGGCAAAGGGAGCATCCGCCGCAGGTTCATCTCGCTCGCCGAAAAGCCCAGCCGCCAATTGTTTCCAGAAGATGGCAAGAGGTAGAAGCCACCGGCCACTTCCTCGTCCTTGAGTTTGCCGTCCCAAAAGTGGGTTTGTGTGAGCCACGGTTGGGCCACCTCTGGCCACCCTCTGAAGGCCACCACTGGAATGACATCGTAAAGGACGCGCAAGGGTCCAGCACAAAAGATGACTGACGTGACAACACCGCCACGGTGCTCCACTCTCATATCTTCGGCACAGGCGGACAAAGTCCGGAAGAACCATTCAGACACCTGGTCGGCAGCCAAATAGGCCTCTTCATCCCCCAAGTCAGACCAGAGATTGACAATGGCAGGGTCGAATGGCTGGAGGCTCAGCCACGTGTGGCCAGCGGGGCTCTGCGTCATGTCCAGCGTGGCAGGGACTCCGGCCGCATTCAGGACGGGCACCAAGAGGGTGAAAGCAGTGTCGTAATCGGTGCCAGGAGAAAGCAGGGGAAGGTGGCCCACACTCAGGTGGACGCTGCCCTGCTGGACCCCGCCGGACAGAAGCAGGTAGCGGTTGACCAGAGGGAGCCTCGGGTCCAATTTCTGGGCCAGACCTGGAAGGAGGACAGGTGAGTTGGTGTGGGTGTGGGCTGACTTCAGCACTCCCTCCAGGTGTTTTGGACTTCAACTCCCACAATTCCTAACAGCCAGTAGGCTGGGTTGTAGGTTTTTTCGGGCTATATGGCCATGTTCTAGAGGCATTCTCTCCTGACGTTTCACCTGCATCTATGGCAAGCATCCTCAGAGGTAGTGATCCAGAAGGCTACTAGGAATTGTGGGAGTTGGAGTCCAAAACACCTGGAGGGCCAAAGTTGGTTCAGGCCTGAACTTATATATGCTGGGACCAGAAGTGAAATAAATACACACACTCTTATATACACACTATATATACTCACATACATATGCATGCATACATACATATAGAAATGGATACATACTGTATACACTATCTAATTCTCTATACATGCATATATCTATATCTATATATACACATATACATATACTTACACACAAACACACACACATATATTCCATCCTTGATTTATACTATACCTTTACTACCAAATTCATGATCAAGGCTCACCTTAAACATATATAAAGTATATAGTATATACATAAAACTATATAAATGTACATAGTAAAGGTAAACATTTCCCCTTGATATTAAGTCCAGTCGTGATTGGAAATCTGGTGCTCATCTCCATTTCTAAGCTGAAAAGTGAGTGTTGTCCACAGACACCTCCAAGGTCATGTGGCCGGCATGACTGCATGGAGCGCTGTTACCTTGCCACTGGAGCGGTACCTATTGCTCTACTCACATTTGCATGTCTTCGAACTGCTAGGTTGGCAGAAGCTGGGCCTAACAGCAGGAGCTCACCCCGTCCTGTGGATTCCAATCACCGACCTTCCGGTCAGCAAGTTTGAAGCTTAATGGTTTAATCCGCTTTGCCACCGTGGCCCTTACTAAATGCAAATATGTGTGTCTATATAATAATAACAAAAATATCATACCTATATGTCACCGGAGTGGTACCTATTGCTCTACTCACATTTGCATGTCTTTGAACTGCTAGGTTGGCAGAAGTTGGGGCTAATGACAGCAGCTCACTCGATCCCACAGATTCGAACCGCTGACCTTCTGGTCAGCAAGTTCTGCAGTGTAGCAGTTTAATCCGCTGCACCACTGTGGCTCCTTACTAAATGCATATATGTGTGTTGATATAATAACAAAAATATCATACCCATGTCTAACTACACACATATGGTATGCATGTATGCAAATATGTATGCGTGTGTGTATTTATACATGTATGTATGTATTCCAGCCTTGATGTATACTCTGCCTTTACTCTCATACTGGTAGCAGATATATAGTTCATGCCTGGGCCAACTTGGGCCCTCCGGGTGTTTTGGACTCCAACTCCCACAATTCCTAACAGCCTACCAGCTGTTAGGAATTGTGGGAGTTGAAGTCCAAAACACCCGGAGGGCACAAGTTGGCCCAGACATTCCCTATCCTTCTGCAAGTCCCCCCAAAACTCACCCAGCAAGGAGAAGACCTGGTCCTTGGCCTGGTGCAATTCTGGGGCATCCTGGATGGCACCCACATTCCTGGCTTCGTACTCCTGGATGAGTTGGTTGAGCTCCTCGATCCGGGCCCCGGATCGGAAATCCAAGTCCGTGAGTGGTTTGGCCGGAGCCGGTTTCGGGGACCAGGGGTGTCCCTCCAGAAAAGGGGGCGACTCCACACCCTCCATCCCTGGCAGCAAAGGAGAGAAGGGCTGCCATTAGGTTTATTGTGTCCATTGTAGGAAACTTTGCAGAACTTAAAGATAGATCAGGCATGAGTCAACTTTGGCCCTTCCTCCAGGACTTCAACTCCCACAATTTCTATGGCAGGCTGTTAGGAATCGTGGGAGTTGGAGTCCAAAACACCAGGAGGTCCAAGTTGGTCCAGGTCTGAACTGTATATACCAGGTGTTAGGAATTGTGGGAGTTGGAATCCAAAACACCAGGAGGTCCAAGTTGGTCCAGGTCTGAACTGTATATATACACCAGGTGTTAGGAATTGTGGGAGTTGGAATCCAAAACACCAGGAGGTCCYAGTTGGTCCAGGTCTGAACTGTATATATACACCAGGTGTTAGGAATTGTGGGAGTTGGAATCCAAAACACCAGGAGGTCCYAGTTGGTCCAGGTCTGAACTGTATATATACACCAGGTGTTAGGAATTGTGGGAGTTGMAYTCCAAAACACCAGGAGGTCCAAGTTGGTCCAGGTCTGAACTGTATATATACCAGGTGTTAGGAATTGTGGGAGTTGAAGTCCAAAACACCTGGAGGGAGGGCTGAAGTTGGTCCATGCCCAAGATACATACAGATATTGTGAAGGAACAACAAAGCCCATAAACCACCCTGTGGCTGGGGGATTCTGGGAGTTGTAGTGCCCAAAGCTTCACATTTTCTCTCTCCAAGACTAAGTCCTTATCCAATAATGGCTGGACTGCTGCTCCAATGACACACCTAGCTCAGAGTGTTTGAGGATGATGGTCTTTGAAGTCCAGCTGCATGTGGAAAGGGCCTTCTAAAACACACAGAACATAATACTTACATGCAGATATATATGATGAAAAAGGGAGATAGCAAAGCTCAGAATCCACCCTGGTTTGGGGGATTGTGGGAGATGTAGTGCAAAAAGCCCCGTAACATCCTCTCTACAAAACCCAGCAGCTATAAGGCATTGCTGGACTCCAACTTCCATTATCCCCAATGCAAAAAGCTTCTTGTCATCTCTGTGAGGTGGGGATGTACTTCAAATCCCATCATCCCCTAGCCCAGAGTGCTTTCGTGATCAAGGCTCACCATGAATGTATATAGTAAAGGTAAATGTTGGCGATGGTTGTTTTTGTAGTCCAGCTACATCCAAAAACACAGAGAACTTTATAGATAAGTAAACAGATTGATAGAGAGGAGGTAACAAAGCCCAGTATCCACCCTAAGCTGGGCTTCAGGATTCTGGGAGTTGTAGTGCAAAAAGCTTAACCCTCTTTTTGCAAAATCCCAGCACTTCTCAGATGTGGCTGTACTACAATTCCCACTTTCCCTTGCTTGGGAATGATTGTCTTTGTAGTCCAGCACAGTTTCCCCTTTTCTCTCCTCCTTTTCTCACCAGCTTCCTTCTTCCTTTGTATGATCATACTCTTTACCTACCTTCACCTGGCTCAGGTGAGGGATTTTCTTCCTCCTCCAGCATTACCTCCCCATGAAATGCATTTGAACCCCTCCCAACAAACCATTTCCGCACTTTCAACACCTTTACCTGTCTCACCTGTGCTGCCTACCTGGCCATATAGAGAAGCCACACCCGGCCAAGAGGGAAAATAAACCCTGGGTTTCTATGAATCCTGGGAAATGAAGTTTGCAAACACCTATCCAGGTGGCTTCAAAGCATTCTGGGAAATGTAGGCTCCCTATTGACTTCCTAGTAATTCCCAGGTGTTTTGAACTAGGGAGTCTACCTTTCTTAGCAAAGCATGGCAGGAAATGTAGTGTCACACTCCATTGGCTCCTGCATTCTGGGAGATGTGGTTCTGCTGTAAACACCAGGTATGCCCCAAAGCATGTTGAGAAATGGGAATGGAATCAAACCAGAGGTAAAAGCCATAAAATGCCTCTTGGGTGATGCAGTTTTTCTGGAATTTCCACCTAAGCGTCTCTGTTTTAAGTCAGATTGAAGTCCTCAATGGCAAAGGATGCTGGGAGATGTAGTTCCAAACCACCTAAATGTCTTCACGACTCCTCCTTGTGCTATGGTGATGTTTATGAAAGATGTCATGCATTTATTTGCTTGTATTATCACCAGAGACTCCATCACATTGACCCATAGCAGTTAAAGCGGTATCAAACTGCATTAATTCCACAATGTCGATGCACCCAGAGTCACCCAAGCAGAAGCTGGTGAGATGGCCACCAGTAAAGGGAGTGACTACATCAGTCAGTTGGTTGATTTTGTCATTTGGGAGTTGTAGTTGCTGGGATTTATAGTTCACCTACAATCAAAGAGCATTCTGAACTCCACCAACGATGGAATTCAACCAAACTTGTCACACAGAACTCTCATGACTAACAGAAAATACTGGAAGGGTTTGGTGGGCATTGACCTTGAGTATTGGAGTTGTAGTTCACCTACATCCAGAGATCATGGTGGATTCAAACAATGATGGATCTGGACCAAACTTGGCACAAATACTCAATATGCCCAAATGTGAACACTGGTGGAGTTTGGGGAAAATAGACCGTGACCTTTGGGAGTTGTAGTTACTGGGATTTAAAGTTCACCTACAATCAAAGAATATTATGAACTCTGCCAACGATAGAATTGGGCCAAACTTGGAACACAGGACCCCTCATGACCAACAGAAAATACTGTGTTTTCTGATGGTCCTCGGCGACGCGTCTGATGCCCCCTTGCGACAGACAGACAGATAGATAGATTACAGAATCATTGCCATGAGCAGGAAGAGATCCCAAAGGCAATCCAATTCAATCCCCATTTAGATAGATAGATAGATAGATAGATAGATAGATAGATAGATAGACAGACAGACAGACAGACAGACAGACAGACAGACAGACAGTAGATTGATTGATCGATAATAGAATCATGGAGCTGGAAGGGTCATCCAAAGGCCATCAAGTCCGATAGACAGACAGACAGACAGATACTACATAGATCAATAATAGAATCATGGAGCCGGAAGGGTCATCCAAACGTCATTTAGTCCAATAGACAGACAGACAGACAGATCGATAGATAGATAGAATGGATGGACAGACAAAATCATAGTCATGGAGCTGGAAGAGACCCCAAAGGTCATCCAGCTCAACCCTCTAAGATGGATGGGTGGAGAGACAGACAGACAGATAATAGAATCATAGTCACGGTTAGGAAGAGATCCCAAAGGCAATCCAATTCAATCCCCATTTAGATAGATAGATAGATAGATAGATAGATAGATAGATAGATAGATAGATAGATAGATAGACAGTAGATCGATTGATCGATAATAGAATCATGGAGCTGGAAGGGTCATCCAAAGGCCATCAAGTCCAACAGACAGACAGATACTAGATAGATCAAGAATAGACTCATGGAGCTGGAAGGGTCACCCAAAGGTCATTTAGTCCAATAGCAAGCCAGCCAGCCAGCCAGACTGATCAATAGATTGATTGGATGGATGGACAGACAAAATCATAGTCATGGAGCTGGAAGAGACCCCAAAGGCCATCCAGCTCAACCCTCTAAAATGGATGGGTGGATAGACAGACAGACAGACAGACAGACAGATAGTAGAATCATAGTCATGGGTAGGAAGAGATCCCAAAGGCAATCCAATTCAATCTCCATTTAGATAGATAGATAGATAGATAGATAGATAGATAGATAGATAGATAGATAGACAGACAGACAGACAGTAGGTCTATTGGTCGATAATAGAATCAGGGAGCTGGAAGGGTCATCCAAAGGCCATCAAGTCTGACAGAGAGACAGACAGATACTAGAAAGATCAATAATAGAATCATGGAGCTGGAAGGGTCATCCAAAGGTCATTTAGTTCAATAGACAGACAGACAGACAGACAGACAGACTGATCGATATATTGATAGGATTGATGGACAGACAAAATCATAGTCATGGAGCTGGAAGAGACCCCAAAGGCCATCCAGTTCAATCTCCATTTAGATAGATAGATAGATAGATGGATGGATGGATGGATGGATGGATGGATGGATGGATAGATGGATAGAATCATCTGATGACCTTTGGAAGGGTCATCCAAAGGCCATCCAGTCACATAGATAGATAGAAGATAGATAGGATGGACAAACAGTCCTGGAAGAGACCCCCAAGGGCCATCCAGTCCAGCCCCTTGTGCCAGGCAGGAGCACTCAACCAAAGCCCTCCCAACAGATGGCAAGCCAACCATGTTTTCCTTTTGTGCTTTAATTCTCTCCCACCCGGCAGATGGGTCAAGATGGGGTGTCGAAGGGCTCTTCTTCCTCTTCCTCCCCTGGTGCTCTTTGTGTTTCCATCTACTTCAGGGGCCGGTAGACCCAGTCGGAGCCGCCCGTGAGGTCTGGCCAGGCGGTCCTGGGCTTGGCCTGCGCGGCCTCGGTCTGTGCGGCCACGTTGGTGGCCAGGTTTCGGAAGCGGGTCAGGCCTGGTGAGGGGTTGACCGGCATGGCAGACTCCCGGGGGGACCTCCGGCGCTGCTCCCGGACCTCATACTCGGGCGTCTCTTCGGTGACGGTCCCTCGGCGCCGGTGGGCCCTCTCAGGGCTGGCTGAACGGCTCCCTGGTGGCGTCTGAGGGTGGACCGGGTAGATATAGACCTTGGTGGGGCGGCGGGTCCGGGTGCTGGTTCCGGCGGGGTATTCGACATCTTGGTACTGCATCTCCCCCATTTGATTCTGTGGGTACAGCTCGGTGACCGGTCCGAGTGTGTTTCGGCGCTCGTTGCTTCCAGAGTAAAACATGGTGTCCGAGGTCCCGCAGGCCACATCCTTGTACCGGATGACAGTGGGGGTCGCGGGGGCCGAGGTCATCTGGTGGTGGTGTTCACACTCGCAGTGTTCGCATGGCGGATAGTCTGGGTACGTTCTCCGTCCTACTCGGCGGGGTTCCTTGTCATTCTGGACATTCATGGTCAGCTTGACTGGCTCCAGGGTGCAGTGGACGCAGCGCGGGCAGCGTTTCCG